AAGCTCAAATGGCAGCTACATCAGTATTTTAGATAGATAAGTGAATTTCATATGTTGTAGGATTTGCATAATCTCGTAAGGGTCTAGGTTGGTGTTCATTTTCTATTCCTTGATTGTTCATGTTGTTTTTCATTGTATCACAATTTCTTGGTTTTCTTCTTAATCTTCTAATCTTTCTAACAGTGCGTTCTAATTCTGAATCGTATGCTTGCGTAGTAACGCTAATATGAAGTTTTATTATTTATTTTCCATATCATTTTACTTATTCACACTAACCGCTGAATATAATTTGGGTCATGTTTTTGGCAATATTTTGGAGATTAAAAATACACGCAATTGCAGGTCCGGTCAGTTAGTATCATACAATAAAATATAATTGCAGGAAATTTAAGTAAATTGCAAAAAAAAGAAAGCAAGAAGATTTAGTACAAAGAAGTCGAATAACAAATTGTAGGAAAATATGAGAAAGTAAAAAAAAAAAACCTGTAGTTAAATGTGAAAGACTAAGACTAGGTGTAATACATTAGTGAAGGTTGAGGCTCAGAGCTGGAATGAGTATTTTATTAATCCAACTTTGGATAAAAGCTACCGACCTAACAGTCTAAGGAGGGCAATCCCTAACCTCGACCAAAGTGATTAGTCGTGGACCATTATAGGTTTTTCTATAAAATTCTTTAGTTATTTTTATTTTTATTTTTAATTTTTTTTTCATGCATGTAGAATTTACTTTAGCAAGAAAAAGTGGTTATGTTTCAAAAAAAAGGATTTTTGTCATTTTATATTGTAAATATTATAATTTCTTTTGTAAAGTAATAAAGTCTGCAAGCTAATTGCCTTCAAACTAGAACTACCAACAACCTAAGAGTGTCGGAGGACACTTCTACCAAAAATTGGTGAATAGTATCATCAGTCATATCCCCTTTCTCGAAGGATCTTTGAGGTAGGAGATATTATTCCAAATCTCATTTTTATATCCCTCGCTTAGCACACATACGCATTTTCTTCATTGCCCTGGCCACATAAACCTCTGACTTGCATAAGCCCGATGTTCCATATGCGGCAAAATATTCTCAATTGCTCACAAGGAATTAAATACCTTATCCAAGACTCAAATTCTTGAGCACTGGGTTATTTATATATGATAAGTAGTGCTAGGGTATTTTATTGGAATTGGTGAATTAACGGTCTTAGTGCATATCTTGGTAGGAAAATCATGGCGGTTTGAGTAATGAATTATCATCTTAGCGTTGCACGAGAACTTATCACAGACTCAGATAAATAACAAACAATTAGTGGAGACACCATAAGTTCTTATGTAGAAGTCCCGTAATGGGAAAAACCACGAAGTCTGGTCCAATTGAGGTGTTCCACCATAAAATAATGATTACAGTTGCAATCAGTTGTCTCACAAGCTAGAATGGGTTATTTGGTCTCCCAACTTACAACATCGACGTGTGGATGAACTTTTTGCAAGGAACGGGTGGCGACCGATAGCGATCAACAACAGTCAAAAAGTGATGGTCAGCGGTGGTCGGCGACGATCATCGACGGTCGATGGTGGTTGACGACAGTCAGTGATGGTCAACTGTATTCGACAGTGGTGGACGACGGTCAGCGGTGGTCAACGACAGTTGGCGAGGGTCAACAGTGCTCAACAGTGACAGACAACAACATGAGGTGTTGGACTTTAGCTTCTTCTCAAAGCTTCAAGTTTTTCCTCAAGTCTCAAGCTCTGACCATTTAATGAGAGGGGTGAGGCTTTATTTATAAAGTTTCAGGTGTAATTAATGCAAGAATATGAATCACTTTGATCGAATGACTTAGAGGGCTTTCCTCGATCAGGCGATATTTGATGGATATTTGAGTGTCTTAATGATAGCGAAGTTGAGTAATATTGGGCTCGTTGAATTCTTTTCAATCGAGATGCTCGATTCAACTAAGAACTCACGTGATTCAACATCAGTTTGATATGTCCGAAAAACTTCCAAACATGGTTTAATGACTTGATTAGGGCACGATTTGGATCAAATTGGATAAATGTTGGTACCATTAGGCCCCTCTCGTCAAACCGGTCAGTTTGATTATAAGTTTGTTGAAATCTTAACCCAAGATGAGTTTTTATCAATGTTTGAACATTTCTTGCTCAAAAGATTGCATCTAAATTAGTGTCATGTCTCGAGATTTGTGATAGATGATGTAATTTGTTGATATCATATCAACTCCTACTTTGATTAACCTTTAATTAAAAATGTACGTTATATCAAATTAAATGTAAATTAAATTCTTAACAATTTTATGTTATGCCAAATCATACAAAAAGCATCATAAATAATTAATTAATAACTTATAAAGTAAATAGAAAATTATAGAAAATTATAATATACTAATTAAAATTTATTAGATTATTTATTTTAATGAATTGTAATTGGATATACCAAGTTAATTAGTCATTTAGTTGTTTTAAGGTTTAGCCAAACTTTTTGATTAATTAATATTTAATATTTTTTTGTAGTTTAATTTCTTTTTAACAAATTCATATTTATTATGAGACCTAAAATTGTTTTCATACAAACTCAAAACCCTCGATGTTGGTGCAGATCGCCACGTTGAAGAGGGTACTCCTTCGAAACCCTCGTCATTCTCCCGCCCACTCGTAGTGGAAATCTAAGAAGCAAGGAGATCGAATCTAGCATGTGAAGTCATTCTCTTTTATTTTTCCTTTTTCTATTCACCAAATATCTTGAGGGACTGTTTGGTTGCAAAAAGGATTTAGTAACCCATATAAATCCATATTTATCAAATCTTGAGGTGGACATATCCTTAAAATAGTTAGGTATTTTAGTAGGTAAATCCTAAGAAGCTGTTTGACAACTTTTAGGAAAATTTAGAAAGAGTAAGATGATTATAAACTTTAAAAGCATGCCTCTAACAAATACATAAATCCCGCACTTCAAAAAGTATACTATAAATAACCACAATATGATTTACAAATGACTTTAGGAATTAAAAGCTTAATATTACATGTTAGTACTATGATTATTAGTTCTTAGCAATTAATTTAAAGTTTTTAGTTATATTAATCAATACTTAAATATTTATTGAACTAATTAATTATTAATATTAATTTTATTAAATTAATTATATTAAATGATAATTCAACATTTAATAATCTCAATTAATTAATTTTTTATTAAACTAATTAATAACTATTAAATTTTATTAAAATAATTTAATTTAATATGTAGTTTATTTTTTAAATTAATAATTAATAGTTACATAAGTACATATAAATTTATTTATTTATAATTAACTTCATAAGATATTATTTAATTATTAGTTATCAATAAACAAAAATTGACTTGAAAAAAAAAATAACGCCAAAACACCATCTTGCCTTCCCGTCTCCTAAACCCTTGCCGTCGCCCCCCTGACCCTCTACGGGTTTCGCCCAAAACCAACGAAACCCTTGCTGACATCCCCCTCCTCCCTCTACCGGTTTCCCAAAACCAACGCGATACAAGTTCCGATTAGAGCTGCAACTACGGAATTGTGGCATACAAAGACCGCCAAAACTCCCATCTTTCTCCCCCTTCCGGTTCAATCCTACCAGGAATCACTGAGGAAGGTAACCCTCGTCCATTCCCCATCCCACTCATTCGCGCTCTTTAGCTTCTCGAAATCGCTTAAATCGGGATTTTACGAATTCTCAGGATTTAATTTGTCCATTTCGACAGTTTGTCGGGTTTTAGAGTCAAATCCGCTACTAGACGGTACCGCCTGATAACATGGCGAAAGTGAAGATCCACGATAAAAAAGTGAAGTTTGCAATCATGAAAGTTAAGAAAAAGAAGGTAGTCTTCTGCTGCTTCTCCAATGAGTTTTGCTTATTTGTTCTTATCATTTTTCTCTTTTTTTTTTTTTTTGCATTGTCTTTATTATAGTTATTTGTTTGAAATCAGGGAAAGGCAGATTCAGAAACCGATCCTGAGCTACCAATCGAATCTGATTCTCCTATTTGTGACGATTTGCCTGACGTTTCCCAACCGGATTTGAATGTGCGAGCAGTATATCCTGTTCCAATATTTCTTAAATTTTCTCTTTTGATCGATTTCGGCCGTTTTTTTTTTTTTTTTTCATTTGTGCAGGTTTCATCTGAAACTCACGAGGACGAGGGCAATGATTTGCGTCATTCAGCCGAAGAGAGTGATTCCTCCGAGGATGAGGTTTTCTGTCTTGTTCATTTTGGTTTCTTGGAACTGCTCAGAAATTTTATGCTCATAAGTTTACTTTTTTTCCTTAATTTCAAATCAGGTGGCTCCTAGAAATACTATTGGTGACGTCCCATTGGAATGGTACAAGGATGAAGAACATATTGGATATGACATAACAGGGAGGAAGATCAAGAAGCATGCCCGGAAGGACAAGATAGAATCTTTCCTAGCTGGTGTGGATGATTCAAAAAATTGGTTAGTTTGAAAGTTTTCCTTTTTAATATGCTATTAATAGAAATTTGATTGTGTTGTACTATTATTGCGACTAATTCTTCGTAATTGCTTGTTATCTTTTAGTTTGGCATATTTAGTTCATGTTAGTATGTGGCACATATGCCTTTTAAGCTTTCTTTAGTTATAGTTCGAAGTTGTTAAAGCGATATTTTCTTATATTGGCCGCTTGTAGCTCTAGCAAAAGACATTAATTTATGCTCTGTGATTTAAAACGATCTTTTTCCATTTTTGTTTGCTTAAGCTAGCTTGTTTGAGACGAATTATTTTTCAGTTTGCAAATTTTATGATTAAGGATAATATTATCAATCCATAACCTCTTCTCTCATGTATAAGTATACCACAATAACTGTTCCATGGTATTTTCTTATGTATAACCATAAGCTCTTGATGACCTTTGGAGCTAAAGAGGAGTACTTAGCTTAAAATTGTAGTTTGTATTGCTTTTTATTTTGCTGCTAAACTTCTATATGTTCAGATTCTTCAAATATAATTCCTCCCTTCCTGCTGGAGGTATTAATGAACTTGATTTTGCCTACTCTTTAACAGCACTTTGCTCTCATGGTTATTTATGTTTCATTTGTTGCCATAATAGCATAACACATGTATGTATACATTGATTTGTTTTTGAGTTCACAGGGGAAGGATTGGTTATTGTTATGTATTCTTTTGTATACAATGGAAGTATCATCGTCAGCTTTGGCCTTTTCATAATTTCTTTCTTCAAGGCGCGTGTGTAGTCTTTTAACTGTTTTTAACATTCTTTGCTTGCTTTGCCTTTCTTATTTTCTGTTCTCGCCTTTCATCTAATTTTTTGGGTTTATAAACAGGAGGAAAATTTATGACGAGTACAATGATGAAGAAGTAGAATTGACAAAGAAAGATTTTAAGCTTATCAAACGCCTGTTAACGGGAAGCACCCCTCATGCTGAAGTGGATCCTTATGCGGTTTGGACACATCCCATTTTCAATTTTAAAGTTTATTAGTAGTTTTTTTTCATTTTAATCTTACATAGAAAGAAAAGGAAGAACTCTGCATGCTAAACTGAATATGCTTAATGATGTTAATGATAAAATACAGCCATATGTTGATTGGTTTGATTGGGAGGACAAAGGACATCCACTTTCTAATGCACCAGAACCAAAGAGACGGTTTATACCTTCCAAGTGGGAGCAAAAAAAGGCATGCCTAACAAGTTTTAATTTACTTCTTTTGGTTCCCCATTTCTTTTCACATAATTATTTAATTATTTAATTTATTAATTGGAAATATTAATTGGAAATTTTTTTTTTTTTGAAAATTATCGACCAAGTCTGTTTTTTTTTGGATTTAGAAAGGCTGAAACAGCTTTTTATTGTTTTTTCTATGGTTTTATAAAGGTTGTTCAATATATTAGAGCAATTCGTAAAGGGTGGATAAAGTTTGAGAAACCAAAGGAGGAGCCCCGGTATTATTTGTTGTGGGGTGAGGATTCTAATTCGGCTGAAAATAAGAGACAAGGTTTGAAATACATACCTGCACCCAAACCAAAGCTTGCAGGTAATTTTTAATGTACATTAAGACATTTATAAGCAAATGAAAACATGGCATTGGTTTCTTTTTGGGCAGCTTGATTGATTGAATTTGTATAATATTCCTCACTTTCAGGTCACGAGGAATCATATAATCCATCTTTAGAGTATATCCCTACTCAAGAGGAGATAAACTCATACCAACTGATGTATGAGGAAGATCGGCCCAAGTTCATTCCTAGAAGGTATTCGCCAGTTTTGTTGTTTTGCAGGCTAATCCCTTAATGCTCAAGACAAACATGCTAATCTGTGTGCTGTATTTTTAGCAGGTTTGAGTCTCTTAGGAATGTGCCTGCTTATGAGAATGCTCTCAAAGAAGGATTTGATCGTTGCTTGGATTTATACTTGTGTCCTAGAACAAGAAAAAAACGTGTATGTTATAGACTTCTTCTATCTACTAACCAACTCTAATGAAATCTGTTCTCCTTAAATCCCACAGTTTTTGAAGAGATTTAGAACAGAATGCCAAGTAATTAATTAATGAATTTTTTTTTCTTTTAAAATTTTGCAGATTAATATTGATCCTGAATCTTTGAAACCAAAGCTACCAAGTAGGAAAGATCTGAAGCCTTATCCATCAAAATGTTATCTTGAATATTTAGGTCACAGTGGTCCTGTGAAATCAATTTCAGTTGAAATATTAGGGCAGTGGTTAGCATCAGGTTTATGTTTAATAGTCTCTATTGTTCGTAATGATGTTTACCTTCGCTCCATGCCTCACTGTTTTTACTTTTGATGTTATTTCGTAAAGGTTCAAGTGATGGAACCGTTCGTCTTTGGGAGGTCGAAACCGGGCGCTGCCTTAAAGTTTGGGATGTTGGTCAATCTGTCCATCATGTTGCATGGAATCCTTTGCCTAAACTACCAATTTTGGCGGTCGCAGCGTATGATTAATAATATGTTTCTTCAATAATATTTTGAGCTTGTTTGGGATCAATTTATTTTTTTATTTTTCTTAAAAAATATGTTTGCTTATTTTATTTTTTTTTGTTTCTGAAAACAAATTTATATATTTTTGAAAACACTCAAAACAATTTTTAGGGGCCGTTTGGGATCACTTTTGAATTTTATTTTTTTGTTTTTTTTTTAATTTTCTTTTGTTTTTTTTATGTTTTGTTTTAAAATAAAATATGTTTGGTATGTTATAACATGTTTATTTATTTAAAAAAAAACCACTCAAAATAAAATTTAGATGTTTTGAGCAATTTTAAAACAAGCTAATTCATTTTTAAAAACAAAAGATAAAAATATAAAAAAAATGCACTAAACAAACATGTTTTTAAAATAAAAGCAACAACATAAATTAAAAAAAAAGATAACAAAAGTGATCCCAAATAAGGCTTTAGTTTAGGTGTTTTGAGTGTTTTTAAAAACAATCATATCATAATAAAATATGTCACATATATTATTTCAAATCAAATATATTTTGTTTCAAATAAAAAACATAAAAACAAAAAATAGAAAATAAAAATTAAAAATGATCCCAAACGACCCGGCCCATTTGCTATCCCAAAACTTGTTCGACATTCTTGTCATTGTGTTTAAAATACTGTGCAGGGGGCATGATGTGCTTCTTTTGGACACTGGCCTTGGAGATCCTGAAGAGCAGCAAAGGATTACTGAACTTCTTCATTGTGAGGAATCAACACCAGTGGATGATGAGGGTCTCTGCTTTTCATTTTCTTCGGTCACTCTAGATTTATCGAATATTTTTTAGCTTTGAACAACTGTTGACTTGATAAATAACACAGATCTTGTGAGTTGGGCTAGAGAAGAAATGTACGGTGGCATCCGGTTGAAGCATGCTAAAGTATATTCCTTTGCAATTTTTTTTCATTTTGGATTCTTTGTATTTGGTGAGCTGATGTGTAAAATAAATTTCATTTCTATTATGTTTATTCTCAGGCTGTGACTACGGTTGAGTGGCATCGGAAAGGCGATTATTTCACAACGGTCATGCCAAGAGATATCCTTGAGACGTCATGTTTTACCTATTGTTACCAAAATTTTCCTTTTTAGAGCATTGGAATCATTGAGAAATTCACTTTTTTTGTACATGGGGTGCAAAAATCATTTTCCATGTGTCATTATCTTTTATCGATAGCATGAAAAGTTTCATTTTTTAGACAAATTTTCCATTTTCTTTTTCCACGAGCATTGGATGAATTTCTAAAAAAAATTGGTAGCCTCTCAGCAGTCATGTCCAGATATATCCTTCGGTTGTTTTTAGGATTATTTCTAGTTTTAATATGATTTCCAAGGAAGAGGACGATTCTTGAGGTTTGCCAGTCTGTAACTCATTTGATGCATGCAGTGAACTTGTAGCTGAATAAGTAATCAATTTTGATTTCCTGTGGAAGAAATATAATTTACGAAATTTATGGTTTGTTTAATGTTTGGACTGTTGGCTTGTTCCTGTAGCGTTGCATGAGATAATTCAAACTGAAAGGTTTTTTTTTTTTATTTTTTTTATTTTTTGAATGAAAAGCATTCCTGGGAGCCGTGATGTATTCTTTAGCTATATTTTCGTGTTTCAATGCCATGACTTTCAAGGAGAAAAACTAGTTTGTTTGCCTTGTAGAAGAAATTTTACTGGATTGCTACCTATTCTTGATGTGGACCTTAACCCATTGTTTACGTGATACAAAAGCTGTGTTGTTGCACCAACTTTCTAAAAAGCAAACTCATAATCCTTTCAAGAAGTTGCGGGGACTTGCAGTTTCAGCTGTTTTTCATCCTACACGATCAATTTTCTTCATCTCTACGAAGAATCATATCCGTATTTATGATCTTCTGAAATCGAAGCTGATTAATAAGCTTGAGACTGGTCTACAGGAGGTATCATCAATGGCAGTTCATCCTGGAGGTACATGATGTTTATTTATTTTAGAGCACACGAGCGCGTGCGCTACTCTTTGGTTGTGGAACCTTTCCATAATATGGCATTTTAGATTTTTTAATCTTTAAAATCCAGTTGGTTAGTCAAGATTATTCATTTTAGTATAAATCATGAGAACTTGCAATAAATCAAATTCCATGGAATTTGAGAATGATTTGATTCTGCGTTAAGCATGCAAATATAAAACTCTAATGAAGGGTCTAAATAGTGAACTAAATGGCTAAAAATTTGTCATTGGAGTATTCTATTCTAGTGATTTTTTTTTCTTTTTTTTGAAAATGTATGGTTATGTTAAGAAAGGCAGAAGTAGACTTAAAAAGACATTGTATCAAAAAGATCTTAATTCGCTAGAATTAAATGAAAATATGACACTCAATAGGACAATGGAGAAAAAGGATTCATGTAGCCAGCCCAACTTAGTGGGATAAAGGCTTGTTGTTGTTGATGTTGCTGTTGAAAATGTATGGTTATGACATTATGAATAATGTTAATAGATTTGATCATAAAAATAATTAAGATACAAATAAAAGACTATTTATTGAGTGGTATCACAAGCATTCCCTTTATCTAGTTTGATCATCTTTAGTATGTCTTAAAAAGCAGTCTGATTAGATTAGCGAGTTATTAATGTATAGATGGACATCAATGATCTTAATGTTATAATTAAAGATAATAATATAAAAAACTAATTGCATGGCGTGTGAACTTTTAACGCACATATAGTCTTCATATATGTTACATCTTTGTATCACTAAATGCAAACACGTGGTAATCTTATTTTTTGTTCTAGGTGATAATCTCATTGTTGGAAGCAAGGAGGGCAAGATGTGTTGGTTTGATATGGATCTCTCCTCTCGTCCCTACAAAATTTTGAAGTACGTAGAGCTTTTGGTGCGCCTTGTTTTATGCTTTTAATTTATGATCTATATGCAATTTTGAAATTTAACTTCATATGGCCTCTAATTATTTTATTTATTTATTTTTCCTTGGCTTTTTTCTTTGCCTTAATTCTAATTTTTTTGAGATCTCAAAGCTATTTTTGGGTGCTGAGTGAGAAATGAAATGAATCAGATGGTTAAATTTTACTAATGCTAGGTAAATAGCTCATTGGTTTACCAGTTTACAAACACAATGGTTAGTTTGAATCCATTTTGTTTGGTTCCCCAGTATATCAAATATAAACTAAAACTGACTAATTCTTTTGGTGCTGTCATAAACAAGGTTATTTTTTATTTGGTTCAAATTTTAGATTTTATGAAGCCAAACCAAATTGTTATTTGTTGAAATTGATATGTGTCCATTCTCAGGTTGCCATCTTTAATTGCTTTTTTCACTGCCATCTGTCTGAAATAGTAAGAGTTTATCTCCTCTTTTTTCATTGCTTTAACCCTTGATCTGATGTGAAATTCAAAGAATTTCAGAGAGGATATCTCCTTTTTTGCTTTTATTAATCTTTTGATTTTCACCTTTTTTTTTCTATTACCTTTTCTTGTTTATTTTAAAAGTCATCCTAGATTATTGCCTCTATTTAATTTCAAATAATTAAATAAAAAACCTTTTAATTCTTCTAACTACCGAAAAATCAGTTTATATGAGGAGTTGCATGCTATGATTTTATCAGAACAAAAATTATAATGCTCTAAAGTTTGCAATCAACTTTAGTTTGATATTTATTTTGTTTCCCACATTTAAAATAAGTTGTTTTATTCACTGCCTAATTAGAGGTTATATGAATTTTTTTTTTTTTGCAGCTAATTGGCCATTTGTTGATCTTATTTAACTTCATATAAAAATTGGAATAACAAGCATTTAAAGTTTGATAGTCTCCTTTCTTATTTAAATAGCTCTGTAAAATTAATGATCATTTATAGCTTCCTGATTTCTGTTGTTTTGATAATTTATTTTTGGATGTTTGCAGAACGCACCCTAAGGATATAACAAATGTTGCATTTCATCGTTCATACCCGCTGTTTGCCTCGAGCTCTGAAGATTGCACAGCATACGTGTTTCATGGAACAGTCTATTCTGATCTTAACCAGAATCCTCTTATTGTTCCTTTGGAAATTCTCCGTGGTCATGCAAGCTCAAAACATGGAGGTAAGCATTTATTGGACATTGTTTTTTATGTTTTAGAGGAGATTTATTTTGGGGGTGTGCATGATTTGTTTAATTCCAAACCGACTAATGTTTTAAAGAGAATTAAGTCAAATCAAACCAAACCTGTTAATACTGTGATGTCTATTTGTAACGTTGTTTTGTAATATTTTACATAAAACTTGTCTACTTTCTGGGTAATACTGTAAAAAAAAATAGTTGCCACTCCAAACTGAACTTAAATGTGAAACGGGGAGAAATTGCGTGCAAATAGCCTGATTTGGAAATAAGGGCATTTGATGCAGGACCTCTTGCCATTGGGGCTATTAATAAGCTGTTTTTGAGCTGAGCGGGGGATCTGCTCAAAATCTGCTCGAATGGATTCAATTCGGATCAAAATCAACTTGTGACTCGTTATGTTCGATTTCGAGCCAACTCGGCTCAAAATCGAAGCGAGCTGGGCTCAAATTTGAGTTATTTGGATTCGTTCCAGCTCGAAATTCGGCTCGATCCATGTTGAAATTGAAATAAGATGCTCAAATTGAGTTATTTGGATCAATTTCAGCTAGAAATTGGCTCGGAGCTCGTTATTTGGTTTTATTTAGCATTATATATAATTCTTACAAATAAAAAATAATTCGAGCTGATCTTGAGCCAGTTTGAGCCGATTCATATATGATTCGAAATCGGTTTGAAAAAAAAAAATTCTATCCAAAGTTTAGACTCATAGCTCAGCTCATTTATTTTGATCCGATCTCAATCCGAGCTAAAATTCGAATCAATTTTTGAGGGATTAAAGATCTTCGAGCTAAATTCACATCCCTACTTAGCATATGAGGTTCCTAGTACTGATGAACAAAATTTACATAAAATTTAGTAGACAACTAATTACAGCAAGTATGTCTTCTTTTTATGTAAATTGAAGCATACGTGAAATCCTCATCTTATGGTATTTTATTGATATTATAATTTTGAAAATTTTAGTTATATTAAAAAATCACAATCATATCAAGATGGGATGCATACTTTTGAGCAATGAGCAATGCCAATTGTACCTTTTTTTAATACAAAATTAGTCGCACTCTCAAACTAATCAGATTATAAAAACTAAATTAAGCAAGGTAAGAATTAAACCAAATAGAGAGAGGGCATTTACATAAACACCACTAGAGTCTTATGTATTTACATACCAAACACCTAAACTCTCTCTTACATTATACCACAAATCTTTCATATCACATAAAAAATACCATTTTTTTAACTTCTAAACTTTCATGTAAAGATAAGGTGGTACCGTCGATAAACTGCCATCAATAGCTAGCAAGGGGAATACAGGGGGTAAGAAATTCGTGCTGTATGCATCTGAAAATTGAAGTTTAGATGGTTAAAAATGTAAATGCATAGGAATTGCGTGGTATGTACAGAAATCTTCCGTAGAGAAAATTATTTAACCAGTTTAGTTTGAATTAATCATTTTTATCCACCTTTTTGAAGGATAGACTATTTTCCTTTCATATTTTTCTCCCAGAATAGCTGATTTTATTGAATGGCTGCTCTTTGATATCTTTACATATAGTGCTATTCTTGTTTTGAAGCAATTTGATTAGTTTGCTTATCAATCAACCAATCAATCAAATGCATTAAAATTAGATGATAATTCAATTTGAAAGTGTAGATAATTTCAAATGGCTTAGAATCGCTGGCTTGTTGATGATATCATTTGTGTATTGGATTGTTTTGCTTGATATATATCTGGGTAAAATTAATTTTTTGTAGGGCTTCTATATGTTTTGCAATTATCTTTGTATCTTTCACATGCAAAAAGTATTGAAACTCATTTAGCTTGCAATTCTTATATTGTAGATCACAATTAAGTGCGTGATCTTGAGAACGATTAATGTATAAATATATTTGTTAACATATATAAAATATAAAGTATGACTTAAAAATTATTATAAAATAGAAAAAAAATGTGGTGTAATACATAAGTTGAAGACAAATATTCAGGGCAAATCTGTAAATTGAAAGTTTGAACAATTTACTGCTATGCTACAATAATTAAAAAATTTGAATTTACACAAAATGTTACAAATTAACTTCAGCATTTCGAAGCACGCCTTAGCAAAGCAAAGCAGACGACTCGTACTTTTCTTCACTTAGCTCTTAAAGCGTGCTTTTAAAAACAGAGAGCATTATTTAGTACATATGCTTAACTGATATGCATCTTCATGATTGGTATTGAATGTTATTAAAATTATATAACACTTAAAAAATTCATCCGTGTTTAATTGCAGTTATTATAATTTTGTAGAATCTATTTTTTTATTATTAAATAAAATTCCCATACTCATCTTCATCTGGATGCAGGGGTACTGGACTGCGCATTTCACCCAAGACAACCATGGCTGTTCACTGCAGGTGCTGATTCAGTAATCAAGCTTTATTGCCACTAAGCTATTTTTCTACCACCAGCATTATCATAAGAAAGAGTGAAGAGTCTCGTCCAGACAAAGAAATTGAAGAATATTTGATTTGGTAAATGAGGCAAAATAGTCATATTTGAATCTATGGATTAATGTTTAATTATGAGGTTACGGATTAATGTTTAATGTAATGAGTTGATTAGGATTATATTTACAGTTTTTTGTTAGTCTTTGTATTAGAGGTTAATGATGGTTTATAAGCTTATGGAGTCATTGTATTTTTATAAATATTTCCCTTTGGGGGAGTTTTGCTTTTAACAAATTGGCACCATGTATGAGTTATTTGGGAAGTTGGTTGTCTAGAGTTATTTTGATTTTATTATTGAAATTTAGGCCTGCAACTCTTATTTATTTACATATCTAACATGTAAATTGAGATATTTACATGCATGCCATTTTAGTCTTTAAATTCACATAAAGAATATCACTATTATTTTGAAAGTGAAATATTTCTCTTTTGCCTTCTCAAGCCTCTACTCGAGCTCTCATCATCGAGCCTGCGCTACCTGAGAGAGTAGGGATAATTAAATATGACAAGACTGTCGGACCATAGATTAATATCGACTGATCGTCCAACATAAACTGACCAAGCACTTTCCCAGCAAGGTCTCTTTGAGGCTTGAAGGCCATGTTACTCCAGCCATTGTAGAGATAAAACATGTAATAGTGGAGGATTAAAAATCCCAATCCTTAAAGTGATCAATCAAAGAAAATTTACTAATGTGACTTAACTTCACCTTTTCTCTCTTGATTGTATGGGAATCTACTTCAGCTTCGATTCCTTGCACTGCTGCTGAGGCGGTGGAGGGGGAGATTCATCTGTTGGATTCGCCTCTCACCTTTTCTCTCTTGATTGTATGGGAATCTACTTAGCTTCGATTCCTTGCACTTTTGCTGAGGCGGTGGAGGGGGAGATTCATCTGTTGGGTTCGCGTCATTCGTGCTTTTGGAGGGACTATTGAGACTCATCATTCAGATAGATTATGGGGAATTTCCTTAAATAGATGATGCTCCTCAAAATGTGTCACTTTGGGCAAGGCCATCTCCCCAATAGATCACTCCATAAGAAAACCCACTATGCACTTCAACACTGACCCCAACAGTGACCCACTCGCTCTAAAAGGGAGGGGGAAACTAGTTGCGCTCCTCATTTACAAAGGTAGGAACATCTAATCCACTAGTTGAGACCTAAGGGGTTCCACCACTTTGACCTCTTCCACAGAAGCCTCCCTTTATCGGTGGCCCGATTCTTCCTAATTAGTCAATGCTTCAGTGACTGATTGGTCGACATCTTGGGATCATGCAAAATAAGACGAACCCTCAATTTTCATTTGGTACTCTGACGGCTCAATTGTGATCAATTGATTCATTCTTAAATTTTAAATAACAACATTATGAGAGACTGAGTATGCAAGACCCACACCTACTAAGCTTGTGAGAGGCTGCCCTGCTTGAGGGCTTCCGACTTTGACTCCTTTGCCCTGACAATTACTTGAGCGGCTCGTAGTCTCTCTGTCTATGCTTGAGTGGTGTCAAAGGCCTCACAATTTTTCTTTCATCATCACTCTAAAAGTGTTAGGTCGTAGAACTTGGTCAACCATATCAATATTACGATACTTTTAGACTGACCACTTCACTCTCTCAATTTTTCTTGCCTCTAACAGTACTTTTGTCGATGCCCTTGCCTCGACCTTGAGAGGAGCCTCACTAGACATAACCGCTTGGATGAAACAACTTTTTAATGTATAGGTCATGCAAAATCATTTCTTCCAATCTTTTACTTTATTCTTTAGCCTTGACAACTAGAATTTTTCAGCGAACAAGAACTGTGTGAACCCGTTTCACCCAATTCGAAAAGAGAATAGATATTTAAACAACTCGATTGACCAAATGATTTTTTGGTCTCAGTCATACATGATAAAGGTCATGATAGTCACGATGGAGTTTGGCTTCAATTAAGTCTAGATGATTCTATAGTTAGCAAAGATGGAACACACCTTGGTACAGAATGATATGTAGAGGCCGAGCCAAAACTGATCCTTATAGAACAAATTGTCCTTGCCATAAAGTGATATTACCTGATCAGCCTCACCAACTACTTGAAGTTTGATAAAAACATAATAAATATAGCTCTCTTGTAGTGCACGTACTTCCTTTTTAGTCAACTGAGATTGGTCATCCATGGCGACCGATCCAAAATTCTTCAAAAAATTCTTCGGAGAATATTGAAAAGCCATTGTGTGATTGTCATGATGTAGAAGAAAAAATAAAGAAAAATGATTGAAAGAAAAGCACTGAGAAAGTGCATCTACTCTTTCTTGCTCCTTTATATAGAAGCGAATGAAGTCCAACTACCACACAGAAGTAAAATAAAAAAATGACTAGTCATTCCCATAAAAAATATCAATAAAATCAATACGAATCAAGAAACAAGGAAAGAAATCTTTATTCCATAATAACACATATTATAATGCAGTGCTCATAAATTAGTCTAAAGAAACAAAGTATTATATAAGGGGATCTGACGCCGCATTGACCGAGACATGCCTCAATCAAAGAAGTCTCCAATATATAAATTCCTTTTTAGATCTAAACTGATTCAGTCAATCTGACTCTGCTTGTGCCTGAAAAACTCATAATCTCTCCTAAACATCCAAGAACTCGCGACAAAGAGTATTTATCGTCTCTTCCACCTTCTTCATGCAGCTAAATAGGTCACAGATTTCTCCATCCCACTAGATACTGACCAATCGAATGAACTTTCAATCTTATCCAGATGATGGACCAGCAACCTGTGGGACATAAAATCCCTTCGACAGGTCCCTCACACATCTCTGGGAAAAGAGGAAGGTTTTTAGGGCAATCAACCCTCCCATTCTCACTTGAGAGTCAGCTGCTCTCACCTAACACTTACTCTGCATTCCTTGGTGGTTTGATCAAACGCTCATTTGGATTTGATGGAGTTTGATTATGTGAATCGTAAATTATTATAAAAAAAAAGACTTTAGCCAGAACCTAACATATTAGACATCGCAAATACAAGACACATGTCCCTCTTACCCAAGAATTGAATCAACTCAGACATGGTAAGCTCACTAGCGAGCATTGGTGAAAGCTGCGAATGAATAATTGAAACTACTCGAGTAGTGCAATCAATCAGAGGATTTCACACCATACTAGGTGGCTAAATGATTGGATGGGCAGCCGATCAGTCAGGTAAACATATGTCGATATGGTGTTTATGAGAGAATCAGATGACCCCACCTAATTCAACATCAATGATTGAAGCCTTTCTCTTCCTGTCACCTTTCTTTCTCCTTTCACCGCTTGAACAATTCTTTCCCTTTGCTTTTTCCAAAATGGAACAAATCAAATTTATTTTAGGAATGTCAGTCTATAACTTTGTCTGTTTGTCCATGGTTTGATCAAACTAGAGTGCGAGATGCGAACTACTAAAGAAAAAAAAAACAAAACAGGTAATGAAGTATGAGAAAGTATACTATCGCCCCATTTATAGAAATCAAGTGCTTCGGAATCAAGAGAGTTTAATCATTGGGTCATAAATTATAATTGAATGAAATCTACTTTTTTCATTTAATTCTTTAATTTTTAACGTTGTGTGGCTTTTAAGAATTAATATAATTAGAAAACTAAAATAAGTATAAAAAAATGGTGTATGTGTTGATCTTTCATGGATCCAACTATCCAGAACATGGAAGTATGAAGAAGGAAGATCTTCCAAATCGAGTCAAAAACATATATGGCGATGGTCGATTGGTATCATCCAAGCATCTTACTCAAAAGCTCTCCTAGATGACATCTTTGTCTCCAACCAAAAGAAAGCCGATTCAGTGCATAAGTTTATCCCACGGAAGGGTCAATTTCACAGAGCATCTTTGACCATCTAGTGGAAACCAAAAGAATTCTCTCAAGAATTAAGATGAGCCAAACAAGTTTGACCAAGTGAGCAACAAGATAATCGACTGAGCAAGCCAAGACGATGAAGCCTCACTAACAAAAATAATCTATTGTGCTAATTCAACCAAGCCCAACCAACTGAGCTAGGATGACTGTGCCAAAAAAACAATTGAATGATGATAACTCATCACTTATTAAACACCTAAAATATCCAATGCAAACTCTATCCAAACGTGAGAAAAAAATGTAGTATAACTATTGTACTAAATCCTCAATAAATAAGAGAGGCATTTATGGGCTCCCGCTTCACACTATTTTTATTATTCATTCTAGAGATTATAACTCTAATCTCTCTCTCTCTCTCTCTCTCTCTCTCTCTATCTTTCTTTTTCACTCTTCTTTTATACTCTATTCATTCAGTGTGATTCACGAATAATTTTGGAATCAACATGTAAATAAAAGAAAAAAGTTTGGGTCCATAAATGCCTTTTCTCTCCTTTAAGCAATACATACATCATCGATATGGAGTGAAAACTATTTAGTAAGTACTCTAAATTAACAAAGATTTATAGAACATTAATGATCAAAGGAATCATAATTGTATTTACTAATTTCAAAATTTTATATTTTAAATTATTCTATATTTGAGATATTTTTTTAAAATTGAACTTTAATTTTCTATCATATATATCAATAAATTTATATAAATTTGTATCTCTATTACTTATATATTGTGATGTTATTTTAAATGTTCAACTATTATATAAATGAATAAAAAAAACCTTTCAGTGAATTATGATCTAACATTTCAGAAGATAAAAACACCATAAGAAAGGGTCATTTACAAAAAAAACAAGAGACCAATTTATCTGACCAAGTGTAGTTTTTTGAGTTAAAACCAATGAAGTCAAAGTTGACTAAACCATGAGAAGGACAAAAAGATGACCAAATGATCCAAGTTCAAATCGTTCAATTAGAAATGAGATAAAAAGGTATACGTGCTAACCACTATGAACAAGTCGTTTTGAGAGAAGACCTAATCTTTCAACATATCCAATCAAACCAGAGATGTCTAGAGCCCCCCTAATATACTATGAAGGATTGCCAACTATAATAGATCAGCCAACTAGCATTGTCGACCAAGCCTAGCCGACCAAACACATCTTATCTACCTAAAGCTAATAAAACTCAGTGGACCAAGCTATAGAATAACCGAGCAATAGTCTCATACATGTGAAATATCAAGAAT